GTTTTTCTATCGATTATCAGGACCCAAACTATCGAGTCTGAGAAAGTTCGACGGGCAGAAATGGCAAAGACGGCGATTCGGTAGGTCGGCGTCGATAGCTTCTTCCCGCTGAAGCTAACCCTAATATATTGGATCGAGTTTACAGGGGGATGGAGTCACGTTGCGCGGGATAGAGCGGGTGGAGATCTGCGAAGGTAGGGGTTGGAGAGGAGGAGAGAGGGGAGGTAGAAAGGTTACGGGTCATAAACCATCCTCAGTCGCTGAAATCGTTCTATATGCGAGCCCGTACGTGTATGCGGGTGTACGTACACGCGCGTGTCCATCTACTTCCGTATCCGTACGGTAGCACGTGTGATTCTCGCGCAGTACGAAGCAGAAGTTGTTTACTGCCTTCTGCGAAACTTTTAAAGTAACGTAATCCAAGTGCGCGTTATACGGCATCGATCGATTCAATCGTGGAGTCGATGTGACATTTATTAATCTTATGAGATATCGATTTTGCGTGATAGAATGTATTTGACACTGGCGGAGAAATTGCGAGGAATACACAGTGCAGAGTATTTGAAATGAGAACGTAAGATGAATATCTTTGCGAAATTTCTGCGAAAATAAGGTAGAATTTTCTTTCAGAAAATTGACCTCGAGTAAACTCAGCGATATAAATTTATTTCGTCAATGGCAGTAAAAAGTCACTTTTACCTATATTTTGAATTGTTCTGCATATTTTTAAAAGGATTATTAAATGTAAAATATCTGTATCAATATTATTAATCGAGATAATTTGTACCTATCGATTTTCGGATACTATATGACTTATGGAGACACATTGCTGACAATTTAGGTTGAGAACCACGACGGGTGTGTAATATGAAGATAAGATGTCCCCCATGTTCCCATGTGCCAGGCTCCTCGATCGGGGATTATGTTGCCATCTACGTTGTCCCACCCCCTCGAACGAAAACATCCCGTCGTAGTAGCGCCGACCAGTCAGACCAACCCCATTACCTTTCGCACTCTTACGTTCGTCATTTCTCGTGAATCTTCGTTTCTTATTTGTCGTAAACTCATTCGAGGAAAATGGGCAAGCGTTTATTTCTACTTCTCGAAATCACTTGCATTTTTCGTCGAATTACCGAGATTATATGTATGTGCGTTACGCAATTTTCAAAGACGATACTCTTTGGATATACTCGCATCTCTTGACGAATTATGATACTCTTCGGGAGGGCAAAAAAAATTAGCGAATTTATATATTTATGTAACGCCGGAGAAATGACGCGCAAGATAGTACACTCATGATTTTTTTAACGCGGCGCGTTTTATGTTCTTATGGTGCGCTTACGATCGCACGCGCCCTGACTCCCATGTTATTTTACAGGGGTGGCTAAAGTAGATTTTTATGAATCCACCAGGAGTGTATACATCTCGCAGTTGATGCGTTAAACTCTGCGTGATGTTTTTCCGATAATCTTTTTTGTAGCCCGTGTTCGACAGATCTCGAAATTCTCCCATTTTTCGTTGTTTTGATAATGGCTAACATTTATATTTTATTAACATTTTTTAACTACAATAATATCCCGCTTAAACGATTCAGAGTGTTTTTAGAAGAAGAATCACAGAAAGAAGTTCCCAATTCAGCTTCAGTCAAGATATTAAATAACATTTATTGTGGCATTATTTATTAAGTTTAAAGAAAGCTAAAGTTCTAGAGAAAATTCTCTCCATTTCTTTTCCCAGATTAAAAAAAAATATATATAGAGATTTGCGAAGTATATTATTATGTATGTATATTATTACATATATATAATAAAAACTATCGCAGGTATGAGTCTCTCTCAAGATGATTATGACTAGCGTCAAGACCCTGTTCGTTTTCGCGAAATATTTCCTCGATTTTCCAGGGAACACTCTTAGTCCTTTTCATCCCTGACATAAGAAATCGTCAGCATTCCGAATGGTAAGTCCAGTGTCAGCCTAATGTATGTCCAGCGTGGCGAGGGTGTGCTTGATTCATTTCACCCTCGGGGTCCCCGCTGGCGGCGCGCAATTCGCCACGCATTTCAGGAGTCTTCCCGCTCAACTCGTGCACGCGAATAAAAAATCCACCCTGCAAGACTTTACACGGGCGTCATAAGCTGACGCACTTAATTTAAAGATCGTCCCAGCGTCGAAAAGTCTCGGAGCGAGGGTCGTTCCCCTCGGTCTCTCTCTTTCTCTCTCTTTTTCCTTCTTTTCCTCTTTTTTTTCCGCCGGTCACAGTTCATGCAACTCCGCGGGGGCGGCTTTACAATCCGAGCATTCCGCTTTACAGTTCATTTCGTTTGCGGCGGCGCGCTTTTCCTCTTCATCGAATTATTTCGAACGCGTCGACGGAAACGTTCTTCCATTGTGCCCGGCGCGGCGTTTCCGAGGCGCCGCGCCGCGCCGCGTCGCGATTTCTATCGTAATAGTGACGCTCTGCTTTTCTTCCCAATATGCCTGTACTCGCTGTTACTTGCAACGCTATTCAATATCTTTAATTATTATTCACTCATTTGCATCTACAAAACTATTAAACTCAATTGCAGATTATTTTACGTATCTTTGACATGTAACACAATTAATGCAATACGCGCGCGATACAAACATATTGTATCAATCCGTTTAATCGTATTAAATATAATTGTTTTAAACAAAGCTTTTATTCGACATCCAATTAACATAGGTGCTTTATTAATCCGTCAATTTCGCGACACTTTACGGTCCCAATCCACTTGGTCGTCGTTGACATAAGATTCGAGATGCCAGTAACGACAGGGTGAGGAAGAGAAAGAGAGAGGGTCGCAGCTGCGTAGGCATGTGGCAAATTGCCAGGCTGCCCGCTGGAGCCGTTCACGAAGGTGGAAGCGCCTCCGCGAAGAACGAAGTGGACCCAGCAGGGAGGGCGAAGCGAAGGAGAGGACGATGTACGTCGCGGCGCGCGGCGCGGCGGTACGAAGGAACGATACGACGACGCGAGGCGAGATGGAAGGCAGAGAGGCGGCCGGTAATCTGTGATTCAAAGAGAGCGATCCATCTTGCGACATGCCAGGATTCAATCGGCGGCATTTGTTTGTGAAATCAGTCCCGAAGGACTCTCCCTGTCGCTCCTCGTCTTCTCCACGTCCCTCCTCGTACGATTCTCCGATTGTCTCCGCGCGGCCACGACAAAACCCGCAGGACCGAAGGACGTGAATGGAAAACGCCGGATTTGTCTTATCGACGACGGAGTGTAGAAAGCGATTATTCTGATTCGTCACTAGCGCGAAACGGATAATGCGGACAAATTTAGGTGTCTCTACAACTACGTCAGTTTCGTGCGACGTGCGACGTGCGTACAATAAATATTTAACGCATGCGACTTCATTTAAAAATAAAAATAATTTATTTCTTGGAAATTCACTTTCAAGTAACTTTTCAAGAACATTGCGGAAACATTATCATACGTGACGTCATTTGAAACATTTTCATCAGCGAGCGGCAAAGGAGCGCCGGCCAGGGCGTGCCGCATGATCGACGCCAAGCACAGGGGGCTAATAAGGCCATATATATTTATTCAGCTAGTCGGGGGTGGATTTTATATCCTTGGACAGGACTGGCGGACGGAAAGAGAAACGAGAGGCGAAGGGAAGAATGTGTCGGGGAGAGAAGGACGGCGCGGCTTAGCATTCGGAAAATACTGAGGATAGATTCGTGCGTCTGATCCGTGCCAGATCCCATAAAATGACCCTAGCACGATCGAGTGCCCGCCATGCCGTGGCCCGCGCCCCTGTAGTATCGCGCGCGAGAGGCTACCCCAGAAAATTATTGCTCTCCTTATACATTCGTTCGTACTGCCGAATTGGGGCCGAGTCGAATAAACTTGTGCCCTTTAGATACGGAAAAGTAACGATGGACAAAGAAAGAGAGTGGCATGCAAGGTAGAAAAAGACTGGAAGAGAAAGGAGAGGATGATTATTTGTTCTGAGAAAATTCAGTAAAATTGTCTATTCAAAAGAAACAAGCTTAAGTATATGATTACGAAATAAAAAGAATTACACATTTGAAAATAAGAAAAAAATGATATTAAATCAAACCTTCGTTAAGTTGATTTCAAATTTGTTAAAATATCACGAATAGAAGAAACAAATAGTATAAATGATATATCAACGAATAGCATCGTTTGAATAGCCGTCGTAAATATCAAGTGCCTCATATATGTTAGAAAAACTGCGGAATTTTATCATTTCAGTTGCGATTGAGGAAAGATAACGAAGATGCTACATATATCTCGGAGCATGCAAGTTGGTCTTGTAGCACGCGAACATTGAATCATAAATACCGCGCGTTAGCCACAATTACCAGAAGAATAGTAACGGAATAACTTAATAAGCGGAATCGTTTGGGCGTACGCAACGATGTTAACAGTGTTGCGCCAAGGATACATTACGCCAGGCCCTCGAGAGCTGGCTTTCCAATATATTAGCAATTATTATAATATATTACACGCTCACGCGCACGCTTTTATAATAATTGCCGCGGTTAAATCTAACGCCGCGCTACTATTGTTTGCATCTTAGATAGTTGCAATAAATCTGTTGAGCAACGATGAAGTTTGCCGTGAGTATCAGAGCGTTACCGGTTGATAACATGCTCCGATAATGGAAAGAACATATGTATATATTTTATATTTGCACATATATTTTTTTTTATACGCAGTAATGAGAGTGAGGAAACTGGAAGAAATTTCTTTTACGATGGTAAACACAAATTATTATCGACATTTTATGCGCATATTAAATTTAATATGCGTATAATTTATCACGTTTCGTCGGAATAGAAAGCAACACTCATCTCCATAATATTATTATTACTTTATTACGATTATTTTATAGCAAAAGTCAATAGTATAAGGAAATAGATTTTATTAGTGTTTTTCACATAACATATTTGTAGATAAGCGTATCGTTGTAATTGCATTACTCGGTTACTGACTTTTCACGTCACTTACTCTGTTCGAGTTCTTTCTGCTGGCCGTAGTGATAATCGAGAAATCTGTAACCTTGCGTGAGTTGGGCCCCGGCATTTGTGATGTGGCATGCTAACAGCAACAAATTTCGCGGTTGTACTTTCCAAGCGAACCGCATGAACACCAGGGAATACAGGGTCAAGGCTATAAACAAATCAGAAAGAAACTTAAATCAAATAAACTGACGCGTATGTAAATAATATGTAAATTAATATAATAAATTTACTACCACACATGATTTATCATCTTATTATTTTATTATTATCGAGAAATAGATTTTAGAGCTAATGATTTTAGATTTCTTCGTTACGCGAATACGCAGTTCTCTCAGAGACATTATATTTACGAGACTCAGGGGAAACTCTTTGGCGTAGCGGCCGCGTTTGAGAGATTAAACGTGATTAAACTTATAACATTTTACTGTAACATTTTATTTGCAGACTCGTTTTAGGTCGGTATGCACCCCAGACATTTGCAACGTGCCGCTCATTAAGAAATAAACGGTTATTTGCTGCGCTCGAGCAGCAATTATTTTATGGGTCCCTCTCGAGCCTCGTTCCTCCCTCCCTCCCACCGTTAGTCGCGCATCAACTCGCTCTGTCGCGATTATTACGAGACGGTGAATGAATTCTTCGAAAGGTCTACCGGTAAAGCTATATATCGAACTCACCTAAAGTCATTTTGCCGCTAATGATTTTCGGATGCTTTCGCGTGTCGGATATGGTCGCTATAGGTATCATCCAGTTGAATACTGGACCCCAGAAGTGTGTGCTTAAAAAGTAGTTCGGTTTTTTTTTCCATAAATTGTATTCTTACGCGAGAGCTGAGTACAATTATCTTACAAAAGAGGAACCATCACGATCAATGATTTTTATAATATTGGAAATCATTACAAAAAGAACATTGTAGTTTTTTTTTAATTGAAAAAATATCGATTTTAATTATTTTATTTTACGCACGTACAATATTTTATAAGTCAATCCATCTTATGTATGTTAAATGAACATTACCTTAAAAAATAATCTCTGGTTTCTTTAGTTAGCAGAGATTTCGTCATTCGCTTAGACATGACGAAAGAAGTCGGAATACGATATCGACAAGATTTTTAATCACGTTCGCTACAAGATTATACGTGCAGCAAATCGGTTATGTATTTGCCTTGTATGTAACCTAAACGGCTTCGACACTGGCGACACTGACAGTTCCAACTGAAAGGCGTCGAGATCAAGCGACGATAAAACCAATACCGGGATATATAAGTTGATTTCTGTAACTTCTGTTATACCGCTACTCGTTACACGATTTATCACAGAAACGTGATTTCGCTTATCATCTCGAGAATTTCTAATGGGCATCGATTTGCGCCGCAATTTTCTCTTTGAGCTTGAACTGATGTAATTGCACTGTCACACCACTAACATTTTTTTCAGCAATTAGGTTTTAAAACTTTAACATGCTTACAAAGCGCTATGACGAGCGTTGACGATAAACAGAGTGACGTTATCACAACGATAACAAGGAGAGATTATAAATCATTTGCCGAGACTGAGTATAACGCGTTTCATACTTTAGTTTGAAGTTACTTTTTCAAATTACCGCACGTCTTTTATGATAGTTGTCACGATAGTTGCGCGATCTCTTTAGTCGGATCTATGACTACTGAACGCTAACTGTCGTCTGAATAGTGAGAAAACCGGAATTTCAAGTCGAGATTTCTCGCGTCACTGATGTTTACGCTGTTTACGAGCCTCGCTAGATATGGTTTCGTAACAAACGTATCTTTTCATAGTATAGCCAATGATCCGCGTATCGAGGTCGCCTGCTTATCAGTCGTGTACTATTTACCTATGCAATGTAAATGAAGAATAATTATCATATATATAATGGATATTGTACCCACTGCACGTTAAAACATTTAAATATATGCATAAATACTGTACGTATTTACGTACAGTATTTATAATTTTAATATTTGACGTATTTGTTAATCTCCGTATATATCAATAAAGCGCATTAGTTTTTAGGTAAAAACGCACAAAGTTTCAATATTTCAATACATTTTGAATTTAACACAAATAATGATAAATCTATAATAAAATATTTTTAAACCAATTGTTACGTGTTTCACAGTGGAGAATATATGGAGTATATTCTTCATTTATACATATATCGGTCGACTAATTTTTTCACTGATTGATCACTAGACAAATTACACGTACCGATCCATCTTTTCTCACGACCCTTCATTATTCGTTGATCGATATGCATAACAGTTTGCACGCATATTTGTCACGATCCTTTTTTTTTTATATCGATCTTCGGACGGCGCCACCCCCCTCATAATAAATGCACAGGTTATTATTTCGCGCGTATAATATTGATGGTGCTATGAATGTTGCATGGAGGGGTACGCGGCGTTCTGAACGTGGCTCAACGGGGGTGGAAACCAGCTCGCGTATGGGGGTTGTAACGGGAGATGCTGCGGGACGCATGCGCTGCTACGGGAATAGTATTATTGATCTAAGAAGGGGATGGACTATGGGACCCTCGAAGACCAGCAGTGTGTCGAGGCGATCCCGGCACCCTCGGCCTGACGATATTTCAAGTTCGATAAGCGACCATGATCGCTTTAGCTTCGGAGTAATTCTTTTCTTTTGCGATACTAATAGACTGCACTATTTTATATAATTCTGGAAATTTAAATGCCATTGTTTAAGTATAAGAGTCTTATATTACAATGATACGCATTTAAACTTAAGAGTTACTTTTCAGTATTATTATGTTAATGAATTCTATTTTTACTTATTATTGTCAGATTTTAAAAGACGTTAATATTTAGTTACTTAGGTATAGTTTACCATAGCTCATTAACATAATTATGTTTTCTAGCTGTATATGATTTTTAAAATAAGTTTGAAACACGTATTTTAAATATTTTGATATTTTACGTTATGAAAATTAGCAATCCTTCACATTTATATTGTTCAATATTTATCTTTACACTTCCTTTAATTTTACGGGTCTTATACCAAATTTCAGCATTAATATGCACAATAAGCCACGTTTTTAATTTGAAAAAGATGGAATAAAATTGAAGAGGGTGAAATTTTCTTAAACTTTTATAAAAGCAGAAAAACAAAGGAAATGAGAAGAGATATCTTTCTTTATTTTATCCGTCGTATCCAATTTTCTATCTCGATTATGTATCGAGTGCCCCGGCAGGCGCCCGGTGTACACGTACCTAAAATCGACTATGTTTCCTGCATATGCATTCTCGCATGTAGCATTCGCACGAGTGTTTCTCTCCCTTTTCGAAAGCAAATCCTTATCCCGCGGTCCCTAGGTCCCCCAGGCCACCATCCGAGGCACTCAAGAGTATTGCCGCTATTTTCCGTCTCGCGTATTACGCCGTGCTGCATTTTGCGATCCTCCCGGAATGTCATTTACACGCGACGTTCCCTTTGACGTGTATCAATATTTATTCTGCTTTCCCAGCCGCTCTCCGAGAATCTCCCGAGGTCGTTACATTTATAACATTTGACTCCTCGTATTTCAAGAACATAAAGGTATATACCTATAAGACTTAGATATAATATTATCTAAAACGCAAACGGTAACGGAGAAAAATGTTACTTCTTTTTCTTTGATGTGTAATAAATAGTCAGAAAATGTTACTAATTGGATTAAATGGGACTAAAATTGTATTAAATTATAAACAAGGAATGCGATAGTCAAAATAAAAATGTGTTATTAGTAGTTTACGAAAATTATACTGAATTATAAATAAGAAATGCGCAATTTTATATTGCATACAGATTAAATTACATCGGGAAAAGATAACTATACTCGAAGTTGAATGGATTCATTAGTTATTTACGCGGGATGTAGAAGCGGTGAAGAGGTTTTGGCTTTGTCGAAACAAAGTTTCGTCCCTCTCGCATTGATTCTTGCCGAGGTACAAAGCAACAACGCGCGATACATTCGCACGTATTTGATTTGTATTCGACTGGAAGAAATGGCGCGGCCTCTCTTGCCTCTGATGTCTCTTGCTGACGCGCTCCGAAAAACCTTTTCTACTTTTCCGTCGTCGTTCCCGTTCGGTGGATCCCCTCGGTTCGTTCCCGGCCGACGCTGATCTGAATGCGTCCTACGTATTTGCCAACACCCCCGCTATACGCTCTTTTCAGAGAGAACCGTCGACAAGCACACTCGCCGTCCGCGCACGACACACGACTTTCATCCCCCTGCGAATAAAAAGTCGCGCGTTCACGTAAGTCTGACTCGCATTCGACGACGGAATCACCGCAAATCATCGCCGCATGAAGCAACATGATTGTTTTTTATCTACTGGATGTTGAATCTCTATTAAATAGAAATTAGACAAAATAATAAATTGAATTTGTAGAGCAATGTTTCATATTTGTATATATTAGATATTATATTATATAATTTGTCATAGCTAATCATTGCTCAATAATTACTCAATAAATTCAATTCTCACAATTATGTCATGCCAATCGCATATCGCGATCAATGCATTCCTCAATATAAGTTCGCGTTTCATTAAAATTTCACTAGCGACTAGTAATTACCGATTGGACTTAAACGAGAGTGTCTTTTCCCTTTGTGCGCGTCTAGTCCCTTTGTCCGCGTATTCCGCTCTGACAATGCTTTTAATTATCCGCCGCGGTTCGATGTATAGAATCGAATTACAGGCTGTGGTCCCCGTCGCATGAAACGAGCACTCCGATTGATGTTGAGATAATTAGTGCACAATTAAGGAAGGAATAATTGCCAGATTCCGACTGACTCGCCCGAATGTCCGTTACAGTTATCTTACAACTTATATTTCATTGTCCTTATCTCATATATCATTACGAGCAAACTAAGAACTTATAAAATTACGAACATTTAATTATATACTAGCAGCCCCTCCCCCCTCTCTCTCTCTCTCTCATGTCCACTTTTCAAAAACTTTATATGTTCGAGGCTTTTGCTCAAACTTTATATCGAAATTACGCATGACTTAATAATTCATATGTTTTAATCGCGTAATCGCGCTCTCCGCTATTGGAGTGTTGGTTTCTGTGCTTTTCGCGGGAAATAAAGGAATCTGACATTCTTGCAGGCGTTCTCTTGGTTACACTCGTACATCAACGTCACTTAAAGTCAGGAAAATTTCTCTTAACAATTTTTCTCGCCCGCGGGCCCAAGCGCAAAAGAAATTGTCTGCAGGTACGTATCTTTCGGCGCAGTAGCCGGATAAAATATGTCATATGACTTATATGGCGTATGAGCCAATGTATTGTTACTGCAATGGTATTAACTTTAGAAGAATATTTTTAATGAAAATTAAATAACAATATTTGAATTGTTTTAAACTAATTTACGTGTTCATAACTTTATATCTTTGCTTTGTTATTTGTTATATAAATAATTGATAATTAAATAATTAGATAAGCTTTTATATTCAATGGCAGTAACTTTCTTACGTTTTTAATTAAAAACTAAAATATGATAGACTGGCCGCCAATATGGTATCATTAATATAATTCTGAGCTTTCCATTTGAACATTCTTTCATTTAATTATATAACAGTTTCAATTGAGCGGAGATATTATCAATTTCTGCTATAATTGTTTCGCCATTAGATTACTTTATCTAATGGAGAATATTTCTTCTATAATTATGAAAAATGTATATAATCGGAAATGTTAATTTTCCAGTAACAATCCTAAACTACTAAATATAATAGTTTAAATTTAACAGTTTCAAGTATTCGAAATTCGCAACTACACATATAGAGCAATATGTTACGGCCGAAGTATTGATTTTCCACATTTGTCAGAACGGATGTAGCGCGTGCGGCGCGGCGGAGCTGTCACGTACGATTCGTGACTATTCAGCGTACCCTGCTTTCCGATGCATTGCCATAGTATAGTTCAACTTGGAACAGCGCATTCATGCGACGAACGATGCAAAGAGGATGCGTGGGCGGTTCGGCAGCGGCCCGGTCACGTGCAATCTCCGAAAAGTGCAAGTATCGGGGAAGAGACTTATGAGGGCTACACGTGAATACGGACCATTATTCCGCGCGATAAAGCAATTTCCTCGCACTCACGGAATTATGTTTCTGCTATTTAGCATCGGTCCGGATATCGAGCGAGGGAGAAAGGAGAATGCCGGAGCGAGCCGGAATGGGAAGGACGGAGAGGGAAAGAGGGACAGGATCGAGAAAACGGGAATAGGGAAAACTCGAACCGACGGACCGGACCACCGCGAGAAAACGGCGGAGTAAACGGAAATGGAAACTTCATCGATAAGATCGTTGTTGCTGTACGTACTACGAAACGATTCGTTATCGTCACCGATCGATCACGGCGCGAACCCGCCATTTTTAGACTCTACTTTAATCTCGCTCCAGTTGTGAAACGACTATTCATTCTCAAAACTTTCGTTTTGCTAAAGATTAAAGATTATACGCGAGCAATTTTATTAGAGAAACGGCGCAACATATGTTTGTCCGGGCATTTAGAAATCTCTCGCGCCACAATTTTTCTACGCAAAGATATATATTACCTAAATTACAAATTCTTTTCCCTTACACCTTTATAGCCATGTTTGTAGAGAAACATGCATCTTCGTTATACCGTTCCTTCAGTAAATGTGAGCGTATATATATGTGTGCTGCCTCTCTTCGCGCTTTCTCCTCT